AGGGGAGGCAAAGAGGGGAGCCCCATGTGGCGCAAGGATGCAGGAGCCCCTTTCTTGCTGTGCCCGTGCAGGTAGGAGGGAGTGGAGGGGGACATGTGGTGGCATATAAGGAAGATAGAAGGAAGAAATTTTTCCCAATGAGGGTGGTGAACCCCTGGCCCAGGCTGCCCAGAGAGGTGGTCGATGCCCCATCCCTGGGAACATCCCAGGTCAGGCTGGACGGGGCTCTGAGCAACCTGCTCTGGTTGCAGATGTCCCTGCTCAGGGCAGGGGGTTGGACTAGATGGCCTTGAAAGGTCCCTTCCCACCCAAACTCTTGTATGGTTCTATGATTCTATGGTATATTTGCCACCAAGAGCAAGTAATGGCTTCTTGGGGAATGTGGTGGTTCCAGCACTGATGTCCATGGGTCAAGGAGTGATCAATCAATATCATCAATACCTACGGGCCTTGTTCCAGCAGCAGCAGATTGAAGCAGCATTAAAAATAATACTAATATTACTAATAATATGGACAAGCAAGGCAAGGCTTTGCTGCTAAAATACACTGTAAGCCGGTCTGGTCTGTCCAGGCGTGAGCTGAGGGCGAAGCAGGGGGAGGAACAGGGCAGTGGGGACCCTGGCCGGGCGGGGAGGGAAAGAGGAGCGCTTCCGATCCGCGCGTTTTCTTAAAGCCTATGCGAAAGTATTACTATTTGCCTAATGAACAAGCACAGTTTTTAAAAAAACAAACAAACAAAAAAAACCTTTGGTGAAGAAAAGCACCAAATTCCCGTGGTCTCGTGTGAGTGACTGATCCCAAGGTGCGTGAGAATCTACAGCGTCTGGAGTTGCATCGGTGTGTCAGGTTCCTTTGCGTTTAAATAATTTGTACGAGTAGCTTGCGATAATAGGATGAGTTTAAAAACAAAATGAAACAAACAACAAGAAATCTCTAGGAACAAAACATTGATAGTTTACAGGGTTTTGTGAGTTTAAATGCCTTATATTTAACAATCATAATTTATGACTAACTTGTAGATATTGTGGGTTCTTATTTAATTATTTTTATAGTTGTTTTTTGCATTTTTAATTATAATTTATTTATTTAGAAATTAATACTAATTTTTTTTATTACTCCTATTACCTCATTTTTGCATTGTTTCTGGGAATGGAATGCTTTGCATGCATCGGTACTTTAAAAAAACTTAAACATGGGATGTGGGGGGTAATGCTTATCTTGTCAAAAAAAAAGAGAAAAAAATCAGGGTGTGTGATTACAAACTGTATTACTGTGGTGCTGTTACCTTGGATACATTCCATAAAAATGCAAACCTTTGATTCTGTATGCTGTGACATAGTGGAAAACTGCAATATAGTGACTGTGTTTAGCACATATATATGAATATTATTTGCACTCATAATCAAACTCCGGTGATCCTTTCACTTGCGTCCTTGCGCATTGACGGCGACTAACAGCGCTCTGCAAAACCAAAATGTTTCGGCCGATTCTTGCTACTGCCCTGTCCCCGACGCCGCTGGTGATGCGACTGCTCTTGCTGCTTGTGTTACCCTGCAATAACGCCCGGCTTGGGGCAACGCATGCATTTAGTGCAAGACTCTGCAAATTGCTTCAAAAGCCAAGGAAGGAAGCCCAGGCGTGGTGGCTCTGCCCAATTTTTGGTGCCTGTCGGTGCTCGGTCTGGCTCTTTTCACCCCCTGTGCATGCACCCCGGCTGGGCACTGCGGGGAGGATGAAGGAGGCAGTCGATTGAGCCTGAGCTCGGAGGCAACCAAACTGAGCAATTCGTTGCAATTTTAAAGGGTTGACCCCTGGTCTAGCTGAGAGGGGCTGGGATGGACGTGGGAGCAATTCGGCATCCCTTTGTAAGGTCTGGCCATGAGCATCCGCTGTGACCCAGCTGTGAAACGTGCATGGAGCAGAAGCCCTCGACACTGATCTTCTTGATCAGTTGGTTTCATCCCCGCTGTGAAGGGGGAAACCTCAACTTGGAGCTTTTTAACCCACTCTAGAGCTGGGACCTGCACCAGAACCCTCCCGTCTCCAAGGAGGGGTCAGCCCCAAGCTGACGTCCCACTCCTGCAGTTGGTGGCCAAGCATCCCCAGCCCCAGCCCCGGCCGCGCCGCTCTCGCAACGCACTGCCCTTTCCCCAAAGGCTCCTGAATATCAAGCGCTGAAGCCTCGCACGAGGGCTGGAGCACCTCTGATGATATTTTAAGCTTTAAGCCATGACCGCTCTTGGTCAGCACAGATGCTTGGCCGTGTACGGACAGAAGTGGGGTTGGACACTTGTGCTCAGCCGGTAGCCGTCCCCTGCAAAAGGCTTTAGATGCAATTCTCTTTTGGGTTAGAAAGGCACAAAATGACTGTACCTTAAGTTTTTTCTCTCTGTCCCTTCAGGGTGCTGCTCTGCTTTGTTGACTTTGCCTTACCCTAGGTTTAAAACCTGTCTGTGTTTTTTTCCTTGCTGCTCTGTAACACCCCTCCCCGGCGGCCTGGAGCTGCGGTTCTGAGCCGTGCGGGGACAGAGGGTCGGCTGTTCCCCCCGCAAAGACACTGTAAAAGAGATGATAAGTAAAACAAGGAGCGAGCGAACAAAAATCCTCTCCTTTAATGACCCGGGCTGGTGAAAGGATCACCCACATTTTTGTACTCCTACTGCTGTTCTGTTGTGCTGTGCAACATTTTGCTACATAGACTATTTTATAGAAGAAAGCTAGAAAAATATTTATTATTAATATTAAAGCAATAGTGCATTGAAGAAATGAAAAGACATTAGAAATTGTGTAAATGCTTAGATTCACTTTTGGTGGATTTTTTGTACTTTATTTATAACTAATAAAACAAACTGCATTGCTAACTATAAACCTGTGCCACGCAGAAGTCACCTGGCAAGGCGATCGCTTGGTCTTTATTTACTGCTGGTTTCTTGTTTCTTTGGGTCGGCGTCAATTCTTCTTTCGCTCCTTATGCCTTTGGACTTTGAGGTGCACAAGGGACACCGATGGGGTATAGAATGCTCTGCCCAGTTGGTCTGCAGAGGCTGTTGGTGCTTGAGCTCCATGGCAGAGGCGATGTGAGGCTCTCCGCACCGGGCACACGACCGTGCGTGATGGCCTGTAGCACCGGTTTTGTGATGAGGTACCAAAACCACTTTCTAGAACCAGGACGGAAATTGCCTGTTAAAGAGAGATTTCTCCTCTGAACACATCTCACAGTGCCTGCAGGGTATCTCTAGCAAGTCCTGCGGAGATATCGACAGGTCCTCCACCCTCCCAGTAGAGAAGCATCTCCCTCCCTGTGGGTCTCCTGTTTAATGACTAAGGAAAGAGAAAGTTATTGGAAGAAAAAAAAAATCCTCCAAATGAATACAGATATATTCGAGGGTATTTTCAATCCTTTTGTTACCTGTTGGAGAATCCAGAGGTATTTATATACAGCCAACTTTGCATCCTGCACAGCTTATTTCATAGGTCCTCTTGCACTTGTATTTTTTCCCACAATGAACGATGCCAGCCTCTGCTCCTACCCGCTCTCGATTTGGCTGTTCCTCCACATGCATTTCATGCAGAAAGGCTGAGACCAGTCCCCAGCTTTGACTATGTGATTAGACTAAATAAGCCTTGGAGAGAGGTGGCTGCTGATCATAGAGATTTGGTTCCCGTAGTGGAAGGGAATTGCCGGCTCCTCCAGCATCCAGCGAAGGCTGCATAAGGGATGCACCATATTCAGGCAACGCGGAGCTCCCTTTATAGGAAGCTTTCACAAATTCAGAAAACAGAAAACAAGTTAAAAATTACCTGCTGGCCCAGCTGGGGAAAATCTCGGTTGCTCGCTGAGGTCTTGCTGATGTCCTTCAGAAGGGTAATTATGCCGAGAGGGTTGCTTGAGGTGGCAATGGGTTTTGCTTCAAAGCTGCCGCAGCAAATGCGCCGCCACCATCTGATAACGGCCCTGACGCGCGCAGCGAGCAGTGCCCGGTGGCTGCGCCGGGGAGGGAGAGGGGTTGTGCCCATTAAGGCATAACAGCACGGACCATGTTGCAATGTCTTTATTCACTGCCAGCATCTGCTCTTGCAGCAGCTGCCCGGGGCCAGGAGGCTTAGCCCTTATTTGTGTTTTGTAAGTATTTAAATCCTCTGCGGGCCCGCAGGTTGCAGCTCAGGGCTGTACAACCCCATCAGTAAATATCTTTTTCTTTGGTTGTTTTTTTAAAATGGAGCTTTTTTCTATGTCAGAGTGGACCTCTACACATAATGATGGGGCAGGGGAGATTATAAGATGGATACTTCAGAGCCCTCAGTTACTCTGCCCTCATGCACGTGAGGTTGGAGTAGGTACATGATGCTGTGCAAAATGTTTCACAACAATTTCATGGAGATTTTCCTGCAGCAAGAGACAACCAGTCCCTTGTAGCATTCAACACTGCAAAGGACTCCTTGGTTATACCTATTTCTACTGGTAGCACCCAAGTACTTTTGTAAACACAACACTTCATTGGCCTCCCAAAACGATGGGGACCACAGAGATGATGGGGTAGCCTGGTTTTGCAGACTCCCACTGAGTGCCACCATCCTTGTCCTTTGCTCTTGCTTCTCATCTACATTAATGCTTCTCGGAAGAAGGAATGTACATTAAAACCCCACCAATTAAGAAAAAAAAAGCAAAAAAAAAAAAAGGTAGAGTGTGGCGGGGATAGCAGGAGCTGTGCATCTGCCTAACATACAGCTTTGGGATGCTCTGCCCCGGCAGGCAGAGATTGCCTGAGCCCTGCAAAAGGCACAGCCCTGGGTCAATTTTGCCTTTTCTCCTCCCCAGTTCTCCGCTCGGCCAAGAACATGTCGGTTTTAGCAGCTTAATGAAAATCCAGCCCTTGGAAAAACTCCGCTGTTGCTTTTTTACTTTTGTGGCATTAGCTGTTGTAGCAACAGAAGGACTCCCCAGAGCCAGGGTGGAGTTGAGTTTTGTACAAACAAGGGGCATTTTTGAAGTCTTTGGAAGAAAAAAGCAGAGTTTTTTCATGCTTTGCCAAGGTTGCCTTCTTGGGAGGCAGTGAGGTTGCTGACCCTGTACCAGCAAACTCCCCCATGGCCTTTTTCAGGGCAGCATTGCCTGGAGTTCAGCACAGCTCTTGGGTTGGACATGCCCGTCCAGGGGTGGTAGGTGGTTCTGACGGCAACCCAGATATCTGCAACCCCACCTCTCACCTGCGCAGTGGTTTGGTGACACCGAAGACGTTTGCTACGTGTGATTACTCCCAGATGTGAGCACACCTCATACGTAAGCCAAGGATTTCTCTTTCCTCCTCGCCCCATGCAGGGATGGTGTGTGGCTCAGGAGCTGCCTCACCGCCTCCGGGGCTGGGAGCGTGGCGCAGCGCAGCTCCCACATGCGTCACGGTGCATTTGCGCAGGGGCTGCGGTGATGCAGCGATGATGCAAAACCAGCATCTCTGGCATCTCCACGCCAAGTGGGTGCTGGTACAGCATTTTAATGGGAAAAACTCCTATTTCGCTGCAGCACACATTTGGCTAAAAAAGGGACAAATCTATTGACAGGGAGGGTTTTTTCATGGGCTGGGGTGGGAAAAGCAGAGCGATCAAAAACCTGACCTTTTTTTTTGTTTCAAAACACCCACTGGGGATCGGCTGCTTCGCAATGACACTGCACAAGCACAGCAAAAGCAAATGTTCCAGACTCTGCTGGTGGGACATGCTGGCTGTTTGGGGAGCCTGAGCCCCATCCCAGCAGGGTCCCGGGGACGCAACATGCCTGCTGGCCCCCACACCCACCTTCAGCCCTCCTGAGATGTGTTCTGCTCCTCCTGTGAGCTCCCAGCCCTCGGCTCCATCCTTGCTCAGAGCTTGGTAGCACCAGTCTGCAGTGAGGAGGGAGAACACAGCCAGTAAAGGCTGCTATTATTATTATTCCCATTAGTGAGTAGCTGATCATTGATGAGGTTGATTACTGGGCTCATTTAAGCAACTTTCTCTGCTCCAAAACCATCAGTTACCATAAAGGTTTCTAAATGAATTAGCCTGAGCTATTATTTGCAAACTGGCACAGACAGACCTGCATAAGCTCAAGTCTTTTCAGTGGTGCCTGCTGCGGAAAATAAAGATGTGGTGCTTCCCCAGCCAGGCTTTGGTGGGATGCAGCAGCTTTCGAATATCCAGGAGCAATCAACAGCACTCGCAACATGCCCCTAACTCCTGCCTCAGCATCGTTAGCCTTTGCTGGGGCCTCCTTTGCCCATCACCAGGCAGGGATTCAGCAGTGGGACAGTCCTGCCTTGTGGCCAGGCAGGTCCAAGTAGCACCCTGCTCTAGCTGCAGATGTCCCTGCTCACTGCAGGGGGGTTGGACTAGATGGTCTTGAAAGGTCCCTTCCCACCCAAACCATCCTGTGATTCTATGATACTATGTCCCAGCCAAAGCATTGTCCCCAAAGCAGGGATTGAGGGGGTGGGTGGGCTCAGTGGCTTTAACCCAGTCTTGACCCATTTGATCCCCATTTGCACAAAGTACTTGTTTAAAACCAGCTTCTGGGAGGGGGAAAGAGCTAGGATATGGGTAGACCAGGAGGAAGGTCTCCTTATGGTGGCTCAGACATCCCGCTTTCACCTCCAAAGGACGTCCCCCGCTGCTTTGCTCCCTGGGGAGGGAGATGGGGCTCCAGAAGTAATGATTTGTAAACAGCTTTTCTTCTTGGTACCTGCTGAAATGCAAGTAGCCGGGAAGAGCTCATCTACAGGAGCACTGGCCCTTATCGCGGCTGGGAAATCCCTTCTCCATCACAGAAGAAAGCGAAGCAGCAATCCTTATTAAAAGAAAAAAAATTGAAATGAATGGCAGCTGCTCTGAAATGGAGTTGGTATTCAGGCCATATAGGGTAAGATTATCCTGAGACAGCTTTGAATATAGTTAGCACAGCTTCCTTGCAGTGGAATTGATTATTTGGTAGGTCTTTTGCTTCAGCCACTGTAGCTGTAGATCTCCTTTCTGGGCAGACCCTGATGAAACCAGCCCAAGCGCTGGGTCTGGCTTGAGGAGGAAAGCCCACAGGTGGAAAAAACCACCCAAATCCCACCACTTGAGACCTGGCTGGGTGGGTAACGGGTCCTTCCCAACCTCCCTGCAGAAAGCCCTGCTGTGCCCAGTGCTTTCAATGTGGCGTCTTCTGGAGGTGTGCACGTGTGTGTACAGACATGCAGTGTTCACTGTTGCCAGAAGTGGGAAAAACGGGGATCTCCAAGTTCAATTTTCTTAAATACATTGGCTCAATTATCTTATCCCTTTTACTCATCTTCAAGGGGAGCCCATCAGTCATGGAGGCCAGTGAGCTTTCCCAGACCTAGCAGGGCGAAGCACTGAAATCAGAAGATGGCATTTGAGCTGTTAAAGGATAATTTATGGCTCTGCTAGTTGTGGCTTTTAACCATAAATAAGTGAGAAATGTATTTATTTCATTCACAATTTTTTATGCATTTTAAAAAAAACAGTATTACTTTTACAAAATGTTAACCCAGGAAGAACATCTTGCTGCTAAAAATCTCTCAGTATAAAAGGCAGTGTTTTAAAAAGTAAAATGCAGTATAAAACGGTATAATGAGAAAAATATGCATGCACAAGGGACTGAAGCCCTCCTGCAGCCCTGCCCTCCTCAGTACCTAGGAAAAAGCTCCCTCCAGATTAACCCATCGCCCCGGTTTTCATCCAGCCACTTCCCGCAGGGAAATATGGTGGTCACGCCGGTGGCCGAGTTGGTGATCTCCACCCGCTCCACCAGCCAGCCTGGCGCCAGGCCACTGTTGTCGTGCTCAATCCGGACTTTTTTTAGCTCCCCCATGTCCAGTGTCTCCAGGTAAAACCTGTTGGTTTTGCCCCGCTCAAAGAGGTTCCTGAACTTTTGCTTCAGCGCCCGCTTTCCCGAGTCCCCGTTCAACCCGAAGATGGTGATGAACACGTTGGCGTCAGTCCCCGCTCCCTTTTCAAAGCCTGTGACCACGATGGTCTCATATTTGACTGGCACCAAGCTCCGGGCTTTGCTGGCAAAGCTCTCGGTGACCTTGGCACACTCAAAGACTTTGTAGTCCCGTCTCTTGTAACGCAGAGGGATTTTCACATTGCACCTGAAAAAGTATCTGCCAAAGGAAGATTAGCAGCATGTTAATGGTACGGATGGCCAGTGTACTGGGAAGATGGTATGGACTGAGCATGCTACTAAATTGCCCAGTATTAATGCTGTTTCAGTGCTTGTCCATGTGTGTTCTAGCACTAGAGTTTCTCTCTAGAAAGACAGATTGAACATTGCAACTGCAATTGGAAAACCCAGCATCTCCCTAGGCAGCCACGGACACCTCGCACCTGGGAGGGTTGGTGTGGGGCACTTGTCACCTCTTTTGCCCGTGCAGTAGCATGCCCGTTCACAAACCCACGGCAGCAGGACGAGCAATCCGCCCGGCAGCTACCGCAGCCCAGCGCTGCCGAGTACAACTGGTCTGAGAGCAGGGAGACCGGCAATTGCCCTCGCTGATGGTATGGTTAAGGTTGGGCTAGGAACTAGGAAAAAGAGAATGGGGAAAATGGGAGGAGGAGGTTTAAATCCCACCCTCCTTCCCCATCCTCAACTAGATCACGCAGCCCATCCTTAGCAGGCAAAAAAAAAGCATCGAGCACAGAAATGATAGGCACCAGATGCCGAAAGCCCTTGGCTCTGCAGTGCTGCCTCTGGGGACGTGCAGGGAGCACACAGCACATCCATACAGCACCGCGGACCTGGCGCCCGGCCAGAGGCTGGAGCACTCTGCTTTTAACGACGTATTTAATTTCCAACGATGCAGATCATTTCCAGATGAGTTTTTCCCCCTCCTCCTCCCTTCGCCAAACTGCAGCAGGTCCTCCTGGAGGGAGCGTAGCTGGATGGCAGTGCCTGCGCCTAAAATAAACACCTGGAGGAAGGCTTACTGGGATTCCAGCAGTACTGTGCTTCTTAAGTGCTTTCAACACTTTTGACATTTTCTGCAGCCAAAGGAAAGCACTCCTTTCTCTGGAAAGAAGCTTTGTAAATGAGAAATACTGGTGTGAGCAAAATTTTAGGCTCAGGGACAGAAAACCTGCATGAGAGTGGGGTGGAGAGATTGCTCGTTGCTGCAGTTTTATTTCCTGGGCTAACATAGTATCTCATAGTCTGGAGTTATAATGGAGCATGCCAGTCTTCATGAGGGGCAAGAAGAAAAAAGATGACCTTTCTAGCCCTGGGATTTTCAAGAAAAAGCTTCTAAATAAATCCCTTTCACATACTAAGATCTACTACTAAAAGGCAAAAATCCCAGTGTAATTCAAAAATATTGCTGCAGCAATCTCATAACTCTTTTAATTTGATCTTTGGCTTGACTGGGTGGAGTTTTTTTGATGCTTGGGTTCAAGAATATCTGAAGCAAGAGCTTGGTCTCATAGTGAGATCTGCTCCAGTTGACCGTTTGCAGAGCAAACACCACTGTGAAGTGCTGCATCTGTGGAGCCACAGCTCTGCTTCAGTGCGACGACAGGCTGCAGCCTTTACTGGTATCTCCCGGCTGCCCTCTTTAATTTACAACTTCAAAAAAACTGGGGCTTTATGAGAAAATCTTTGGCACCTTCCAAATATACTACTTCAGCAGTTTCAGCATGCTCCCAGTCAGTTTAGTGCATGGATTTGGCTGCACAGATGGACTTTAAGGGTTCCAGGTTTTTCCCCACCAGAAGAAAAGAACATGTTTTATTATATAATTGACTGAGTTTTCATTCAGCAAATATTATTGTGGCTCTTCTGCTGGCTGATTCATTTGCTAGGAGAGACTCTTAGCTTCTAAAAAAAAAATCCACTTCAAGGGTTTCTTCTTAAACACTCAATTGTCTCAGCTGGAACAAACTCCTTATAGTTAAATTCTTTAGCAGCAATGGAAATGTGATGGAGAAGAAAAGAAATCCACAATTAACACTGTGGATATTTTCTCTGAAGGGTCGTTTGTTCTGATTTGACAATCTTCTCCGGTTCCTGCATAGTCCTTGTGCTATCATCTGCTTCCTGAGTTGTGAATGTCACCTCTTCCAAAGACGGGCCTCAGACCAAAGCGTGTAAGACCTGACGTGTTCAGGGCTCTTCAGACATGTCCATTTTTCAGCCGTGGAAGATTTCATATTCAAATATTCAGTCATATTCAAATCAGAGTAGCTGAGCTGCATGCAACATTTCCAGTGAGCCTTTTGGACCATACCAGAAGGATCTCTCATCCAAACCAATGTGAACTGGAGGTTCAGGTTTTGTCTCACTCTCAGATCTTTTCTAGGAGCTCTTTTTACAAGACTTACCTAAAGGCCATTCTGTGCCGAGCATCCTACAAACCCCTTAAATTTCAGTCAATTTAAATATTTTTCACAAGCTGAGACATTAATTTATCATAGCAGCGAGATTCACCAAGACAACTTGTCATAAATTTATCTGCACGTGCAGGTGCCCTCTCTAGCGACTCAGAAATTGCCCAGGCAAGTCAGCTGTGGGCTCGACACACCAAACAGCTTGTTCTTAGCTTTCAGAAAGGAATGAAGATTTGGTAAGACTTTCCACTATTGCTCAAGTCTGAAAAGCTTAGGAGGACACATGTGGAGCTGCTCAGCATCCCCATGCCCTCCCAGAGCAGCTTCTTGCAGATGAGAAGGCACTTACTTGTTGCAAAGCTCCGTCTCCGTTACGATAATCTCTTGGACATGCCAGAAGACATCAGCTTTTGCAGATGACTTCTTTCCATCTTTTGGGCAGTGACCAACACAGATGGCTGCAATATCACCAACATTCTTTGAAGAAAACTGAAATGTGTCTGTTGCTCCCCTATGAGAAACAGGGAGCAGTTTCAGTTAGTGTGTTGAAGGCTGGCAGTCACTTGTCTCATACGGACATTAAGTAATTTGCACATGGCTACAGAAGATAGAAGATAAGTCTTCATTTAAAGTAATTTGATTTAACCTACCATCATTCAACACAAAGTCTAATTTCCATATTTAAATTTAGTATTTTCTCTGATTAGGTGTGATACTTTAAATTGTTGCCACTAGGACTTTCCAGGATAAACCGTTCCACACACAAAATCAATTTGCTGCATTATAGATAAAGCTAAAGAATGACTAATTTCCCTTCCGGCACTTATTCATTCATCCTTGACAGATACTGTATCTGTTACACATCTACCCACCATAGCTGTTTTAAATTTGCTAGTTCTGCCACTCTTCCTGAAGCTCAGCTTGAAAACAGTTTAGAGAAAAAAATAGGTCTCTGTCAAACCCTTGGCTGGCTCCCTGTCATGTCCCATGCATATCTGTTAGGTTTATCTCCTTGGACCGGTCCTTATTCCAACCTGCCTCCAAGGATGGACTGTGACTAATGCTTTGGAGAGTGGTGTCTTTAACTCCGCTGTAGACACCATCAGCTGAAGGTCAGGAGGAAGCTCCTCCTGATCTTTCCTGTTTCACAGGAAATCTCAGCCATTCATACTAGAGTCCACGTCAGCTGTAATTTCACCTTTCTTTTCAGAGCCACAGGAAAAACCTTTCCTCCCTGCAAAGCAACAGAACCTCAGCAGTGTCCATGACTTTGAAGAGGTTCCCGTTTCCTAAGAGTGTGCTGTGTCCTTAAACAAAGTAGAAAACCTGTCTCACACCTGGAGCACTTCGGTCCCACATGGGAGAAGGAATCTGCCCCACGTTAGATAGATGCGCCTCCAGCTCGTCGGCGCCCAAGGCTGATACTCATCTCTCCTCACACGACAGTGATCTTTCAGCCTTACTTTGCCTGGAAAGTCAAATCTGAGCAGCTCTGACAACATTTAGCCTCCAACTATTTTTACTTTCTCTCTGATTCCCACTGCCAGTGAGATGCTGTAAAAGGAATTAAAAACACCTCCAGCTTCCTTCTGCTCCTCCCAGCTCAAAAATACACAACCTCCCCGGCGGCTCACCAGAAGCCCATTTGCACTTACTAATACAAAACAACACACACACATGCATCATCTACATTTTCTTGTACCAAATGCCTTTTTCCTATCATTGTAAAACCTGCTCTGTGTCTGCCCATCAGAAACTGATTTTACAGCTTCCTTTTACTCCAGGTGAGAAGCCACTAGGCTTTTTGGAAGGTGGATGAGAAACAGCATGTCACAAACGCAACTCTGTAAACCATCCTGGAGAAGAGGTGGCATTTGTAGAAGACACACAGTGGGTGGGGAGTTCCTCTAGCCCACCAGCCAGACCCACTACCTTTCAAATCTCCTTTTCTTGGAGGAGTTCTCCATAAGGAATTCTTTCGAGCGGCCCAGCTTTCCTTCTAAGATGATCCAGATGTTTTCCTTTGTTTCTGCATCCTCTCTGTCGCTTGTTACTGTGACAATCTCATAGGCTTTAAAGCATAATTAACACACACGTTAAACAGAAAAGGAAGAGCAGATGGCCAGAAAGTTCTCTTCATTTGGCTGTCACTTTGCTTAAAAACTCGCTTCCTAATATTTATCACAGCACACCAGAAAGCACTTGCAAAATAAGGATGGAACCACACTGAAGCCTGTGGGACTTTAGACTTCGGCGTGCTTTGGATTTCACACAGGGGTAGAGTACATGAAAAATATAAGTACTGCTTGATCAGCTGGCAAGAGTAGACGGAGCTGCTCTTGAACAAGCTGTGTCCAGCTCCCTGCTGCACTCAGCACTCCTTTTTTAACACAGCCCAAATCCTACAGTTTTTGTGCCACCATTCCTAACAGGCCAGTGAGGGTATCCAGGTCCCCCACAGGATACGCTCAGATGCTGTGGTGGCATGTAAGTACCTAAAATGGCAATCACAAGGTTGATTTTTGCAGGGCAGAGTGAAATCACACTAAAGTAATGTGATTATTGACTCTCCAGGACTCTCCTGAAGAAGAGCACTGCAGTGCAGGAGTTCTTGAGACGTACTTTGCATATTATCAGTGTGGTTAAATAACTCTTGCTCTCTCTCTAGCTCACCACATTAGACACCAGTGTATTACCTTGGACTCAGTGGAATTATCCAGAGCAGACCCAGGGCTATGGGATGTTAAGCTCAGCCATCATGTTCAGCTGGGATACTTGAGCTAGTAGCCCAGAACATGTTAAGGAGGAAGCTGGAGCAATGTTACTTACAAAGCTTTAAGGACTAAACTTATTTTCCACCTCAAAGATTCAAGCCTATTATTTCTAATGAGACCATAATCATGTGTCCTTATGGCTTACTGCTGGATTGAACTGCTGCAGATGGGTCCCTCTTAGGTTTCAACCCAGAATGAGATCTTTTTGTTCCTCATAAATCCTGATTTGTTTTTTTCTTACCACAACGTTGCACTTTTGCACTAAAGGGTACCTTAAATAATCCAATCCTTAAAGCCTGCAAATACAAACACCTATTGCATGGGAACCCTTAGTGGAGCAGCTTGGAGGAGATGTGGTCCCAAGGCCTCTGAGGTCCCTCAGCAAATGCCACAAGTCAACTCTAAACTTACCAGTCCGTTCCTTCAGTTCCAGGATGTCATTATTGGCACAAGCCAGTTCCCTTATGAGCTGCCCATCATCTTCACCTTTAGCCAGCCAGCGATCACACTGGAAGCGGAATGTCTTGTCCATGGCGCAGTCCTTCACGTCAATATACTCCAAGTGCCAACCTGGTGCGATTCCTAGCAAAACAACAAAATAAAAAAGATTTGGATATTTTCACAAGGTAAGGAGATGGATACTTCTCCTTGGTAGCACTCTGCTGAAATGATTGGTATTTGTTTCAGATAATGTCACCAGTGAACAGACATTGTTCTGATACCAAAAGCAATGTTGGCTTGCTCAAGACCATAATCCGATCCCCCTTCTAGAGTCAGGCCATACTTTTGAGGGGGTTGCTGGCTTTTGATCAGATATAAAGGTGTTAGAGCATGCTCCTGGATAAACTAGATTTCAAGCTCTCTGGGGAAGGGATCATCATTTGTCCTTGCCCAACACTTTATATGAGATGGGGCTTCTGCAATACCAGTAGCAGCAGCAGTGAGCAGGGACAGCCAGGGCCGACGTGCCCGCTGTAAACATACCAACACAGGGACCGTCCCAGTAAGAAGCACAACTGTGGCTTATGGACAACAAACCTTTACAAAGCCCCAGGGACATCAGGGCCCTGCAGAACTGTTTGCCAGAGCCAGAAGCATGAAATCTCCTGGATATCAAAGGGTTTGGGGGCAAAAGTTAATGGAGCAGCTTCTGTCACAGAAACTGCTTCAGATTCTTCCTTCCATTTTAAGAGAAACATGAAGTCTTAAAGTCAAAAGAGAAAGATATGAGTTTATGTTCCACCTAAACCCCACCCCTCCACGACACATGTCTGTGTTAAAAAAGACATAGTGGTGTGTGCATGGTTTGTGGTGGTCCCTTCAGATTTTGGGAATGCTAGTTGGTCACAAGCTGTACGTTTTAGTGTTTTCCTCTATGGCCCTTATTACCCCCAAACCCTTCATATTTGGATTGGAAGGTCAATTCCAACTTGCTGCTTTGACCCTGCCAGCTAGCACATGCAAGGAAATTACCCATGTTGTCCTGACTTTGCCGCCAGCCAGGGTGAGTTCACTAATGCTGCGACAGGACATGAACATAGGACAGACTAAAGTGATGGATGCTCCAGCAGGGACCACCAGATCACCTAACTTTTGCCTCGGGGCCTTCTGAGGAGTCATAGCTCCCTTTTAATTTTCTACTCCCCCCCCTCCCCTTTTTTTTTTCCCCAGTGAAAAAACAACTTGAAAGTGAAAAAAAAGGCATTTGGGAACATTTTCTTGATTTCTTTGTTGAAATAGAAGCCTTTGTTGAGCTTGGGGGGATGGGAGGTTCTGACAGCTCTACTTGCAAGTCCTGTTATTAGTCAGACAAAGAAAGGTTATGTTCACGATGAAAGATCTCTGCTGACATATTATTTACATCCCAGAGACATTAAACAGCTCTTGCTCTTCCAAGAACTCACTGCCATGTGCCTACTTCCTTAGTTTGCAAATATTAATCTTCTTTAGCCCACAAAAGAAAATTATAGCAGCTTTTTGAGTTATGTCAACCACTCACCCTGCTCTTGTGGACTGCGGTCCCTCCACACCATGTGCTGGCAGTTCTCTACCAGCCTCACAGCCGTTCCTGTTTTGCACTTCTTCTTCCTGAACCTTCTTCAAGCTAGGAAATAACCTGCTACAAAGCACAGACCTCAACCAAAGATACCATTTTCTCCTTAAATTGCGGGGGCACAGAACTGCAGAAATATTGTGGCTGGAAGATGTTCTCTCTGGAGAACATCTAATCCAACCCCCTGCTTAGAGTAAGCTCAGCTAAAGCAGGTTGAATTCTCCAAAAATGGGGACTCCCTGACCTCTCTGGGAAACCTATGCCAGTGTTTGATCTCCCGTGCACAGAAAAAAGCTTTTTTCTTATGTTTCAGTGGAATTCCCTGTATTTCAATCTGTGCCCATTGCCTCTTGTCCTGTCACTGGGCACTGGTGAGAAAAGCCTGTCTCCACCTTCTTTACTGTCCCGATCAGATACTTGTATGCATCTGGAAAATCCCCCTGAGCCTTGTCTTTTCCAAGTTGAATAGTCCCAGCTCTCTCAGCCTCTCCTCATACAGCAGATGCTCCAATTCCTTAATCGTCTTTGTGACCCTTCACTGGACTCACTCCAGCATGTCCTTGTCTCTCTTTAACTGGGAGGACAGTGCCATGTGCCAATGACAAGACCTGGGCAAATACCACAGGTGCAGCACCCAGGCAGGGGAGCTGGGTGCACCACCCGAACATGCAAGACCTCCTCCAGGCTCCAGCAGCAGGACAAAGGTACTAGAATCACAGGACAGTTTGGGTGGGAAGGGACCTTTCAAGGCCACCTAGTCCAACCCCCTGCAGTGAGCAGGGACATCTGCAACCAGAGCAGGGTGCTCAGAGCCCCGTCCAGCCTGACCTGGGATGTTCCCAGGGATGGGGCATCCACCACCTCTCTGGGCAACCTGGGCCAGGGGTTCACCACCCTCAGCGTGAAAAATTTCTTCCTTCTATCTAGTCTGAATCTGCCCTCTTTCAGTTTAAAACCGTCACCCCTTGTCCTGTCACTACAGGCCCTGCCAAAAAAGTCTGTCCCCACCTTTCTCCTCAGCCCCTCTCAGCCCTGGCAGCTGCAGGAAGGTCTCCCCGGAGCCTTCTCTGCTCCAGGCTGAGCCCCCCCAGCTCTCCCAGCCTCCAGCCCTCGGAGCGTTGCGGGGGCCTCCGCTGGCCCCGCTCCAGCAGGTCCATGTCTCTCCCATGCCGAGGGCTCCAGAGCTGGACGCAGCCCTGCAGGGGGGTCTCCCCAGAGCGGGGCAGAGGGGCAGAATCCCCCCCCTCGCCCCACTGGCCACGCGGCTTTGGGGGCAGCCCAGGACACGGTTGGCCTTAGGTTGGCACTCAGGGGGGTTTTGGGCTGGCATGCAGTACCCTTGCAGATCCTCACCGGTTTAGTGCCTCCTGGGCAGATCTTACCAAGTTCCCCAGGGTTCCCACTGCCACCTAACTGGAACAACTTTCTCTTTGGGGCTCTTTGGAAATTTATTCTAAACATGTTGGCAGTGTCAGTCATTAATCTTTTGGCAGGCTCATCTCCATTTAAGTTCAATGAACATCTCTGCAACATATTCAGGAGGCTGCCCTGCTTCCATCAAAACTTTAGTTAAAACAGTACAGGATGAAAGAAAGAAAACATCCCATCCTTCTCCAGCGAGAGAGATCAATGGCTGCAGACTGGGATAGAATAAATCAGTGATCTTAGTCTTGTTGCCAGCAGTGAACAGCATGATTGGGACAGGATCAGTGCTAAGCAAGGGTATCGGAAAGAAGCCTGAACGAGATGCACATACTCTCCTCCCCCTTCTCCAGCCTGGTCCCAGCAGCCGCTCACCAGGAGAGCTGCAAGAAAAACCTGCTCTTTTATCACAGGGAGAGCTGGGCCAGAGCTGGCTTTCCAGCACATGTTGGAGTTGAGGGTGAAGCAAGCACAAAGAGCAACTTTTCCTGGTGTTCTCTGGAAAAGATGCATTTATCAGCTCTGGGCTATTTAAAGAGCAAGGTCTGGGCTCTGTCAGGGGGTCGACACTGTAAAGCAAATACCAGCAGGGTGTCCCTTATAGCACAAGGGTACCTCAAATCACTGGCTGGTCACCCTTAGAAAAATGGTGCTACTGTCCCAAAGCATCCTCCTGTTTGCCTTAAAGAAAAAAATATTTCTCTTCCCTCCACTAGAACTGCTCTTTCCTTTTTGCTGTTTTCCTTCCTGACGGTGAGCAACTTAAATTAGATTAGGAGTCCTGGAAGCTGTAAAGAATCCTATATTGCTTTTCATTTCTCAAGGGAAATAATTCATCCCAGGTGAATGCTGAACTGGCTATGTCCAAAGCAGCACATCTTCCCACCCTGTCTATGTATGTCAGGAGTGGTGTCACATCAAGGGTTTCACTGCCACAGCATTAAACCCCATTTAAAATGCGAATGGAAGGATTGGTTTGGGGCTGAAAAAATGATTCCTCTTTACCAGACAAGGCATTGTTTTTCTTTTTTTTCAGACTGGGAGAATACACATTTAATTTCTTTTTGCATTGATCTGGAAAAAATGCTAAGTCCAGAAACGCACAGAGTCTAAAAGTGAGACTTTCCCTCTGCTGAGCTGGCTCTGTGGGCTGGGGAGCACATCAGTGGAAGGAGAAGAAACCATGTTTGCAGAACCACTTTTCAGGTCATGAAATCCTGGATTCAGGTTATTACCCTGTTTACATCTTCTGTTCCTGTGTGGCGCTTGCAGAGCAATGGGCTCAGAGACGTTACAGCACCTAAGAAGCAACAGGAAAGGAAACTACATCCCATACAGACGTAACCCCAGAGGAATCAAATCCTCAGTACAACTTGGTTTATGGAGCAGGCACCAGTGAAGAAGTGAGGAAGAGGAGCTAGAAAAGTGGTGTGGACGTAGTAGGGTGGACTGACTTTCCTAGGTCCTGTCCACTGCTCACGCAGCCTGGCTGTGCAGGAGAAACTGGAGGATCTCTGCAGTGGTGGCTCACCAGCCTTTCCCCTGGATGCTGTTGGATGGTGGATCCTGATCCACCGTGAAAGCCACAGCTGCTCCATCACTCAACTTTCAGCGCTTGCAGTTTGTACCCCATTGACGCCTCGACCAACAATACCAGGAGAACAAGGGCTCAGGAGCGAATCGACTGCACCAATGCCTTGGAGAGCATCGCGGGCTCTTCTGCAGTCACCCCTGTACAAACCAGGACCACTGCATTCATCTCCATTGCTGCTTTGGGGCAGAAGGGAGGAAATAGCACATATGTGAGCAGTTCCTGCTTGATTATGCAGGTCTCAGTCTTTAAAATAGTTTGGCCACCACTGTGCCTTTGTGGAAGATCCCCTATCACCATAACAAGCGTTCAATGTTTGTAACAAAAGGTACTTCCCTCCAGGCCTGTTTTGCTGCCATCAAAATCCCCAGCAGCAAACCTGCCCTAACAAAACCCGTGTCTGTGCCACGTAGGTTCCTTAATGGTCCGCAGCTGGAAGTGACATTTTCAATAGCGTGCAAAACATTTCAAATGTAATTAGAGGAGGAGAAGAGCTTTGGGGAAAACAGAATCACT